ATCTATCTATCTATCTATCTATCTATCTATCTATCTATCTATCTATCTATCTATCTATCTATCTATCTATCTATCTATCTATCTATCTATCTATCATCTATCTGTGGTGTGGAGCTGCAGCATCACCTCCAAAGTGAACTGCAGATAACCTCATGACGTGGCACACATAGTATTGAAGCCTATATAAAATTCACGGCGGCTGCATGGATCTGCTGGTGCTCTGAGCCGCCGTCAAGGCTTTGCAGATCATCTGACTTCAGTCCAGATGAAGGATGAGCTTCTCGGGCGCACGCATTGTCCATCCAGCTGATGCTCCCTCCTCGTCTCATCGCAAACTCTTGTGCACCCTCTGGTGCTTGCTAGTCTCCCAAACTTCTTTGTGTAGAGCCTGCCTTGCAGATTGTCTTCCTCGTCTGTGTGGTTGCTCATTATTCAGAGACAGACGGATCTCAGGTCATCTGCAGCTGCAGCGAAGGAGAAGCAGGAAAGATGGCGATCATCCATTAGACCGACCCGGGGGTGCACGCATGAAATACGAGGACAACTTTTTTTTTTTTGGGAGGAACGCTCGAGGAGAAGATTGTACCAGTGAGTGTGTTTCTTTTTATGTTTTTGCACCACGTATATGTCCAGTTTCGGCTGAAGGTCCGCGAGAACGTCGCTATGGTAGATCATGGGATATAATTTGGAGAGCGCCTCGTGAGTGACCTGGAAGGCTCGGCTGTTTTAGTCTAGGTCCAGACGAGGAAGTCGGGGCGAGATTTTTTTTATTTTTTCAGTTTAAGCCCCTAAGAAGTAGCCCCAGCAGAAAAGTCAAGTGGTTCTTCTCGCTTCCCAGTTTATATCCTTTAAAAAAAAAAAAAAAGCCCAACCGCTTCCTCCTCGACATGTATGTCGCCCTTCGGTTTGTTGTCAGAATGACACAAGGAAATGGACGGTGGCGGAGCTAAAAGGAGGCTCGTGCTCGAGCCAGGGGGAATTAGTGGCCGCGGCCGAAGCGTTAGCTTCACGGAGGAGCCGTGTAGCACGGGCTGCTCTTCAGCCAGACTCCATTAGCGACACACAGGAGCTGTCCCACACACACTCACCATGAGAGAAAGCCATGTCCAGTGTGAGGAACCTTCTCTCATTTTGTTACAGAAACCTTATCTGCTGCTAGCTATTGTCTTCTCCACAGACACTGGAGCTAGGATCACCCCCCAAAAGGTCGGGAAATGATTATAAACCCGCATTTTGGTTATATTTATTGATATATCCGTGTTTCTATAAAAAAAAAGCTTATTTTTTGTTGCTCTTGGTGCTTATCGCATTGTTCTGTGTTGCTGTCACTCACTGGTTTCCAGTCAGGTGTGTCACAAGCTTCACCATAAAATGGAGGAAAGCAGATGAGTCTCCAAGGAGAGCCCTGGAGGAGTCAGCCAGCCAGGATTCCTCACGCCAGAACAAAGGTTGTGTTCAAGAGAGGGGGAGAGGGAGAAGAAGAAGAGAAAAAACGGCCACCTCTTCCTCCTTCTTCTCCTTCTTCTGCTGCTTTTTCTCCTCTTTCAGCTCTGAAGTTTATTCTGCTGAAGGAAGCAGAGGAACTCTTTTAAAAAAAAGTCAGCAGAGATCCCTTTAGTGGTGTTTTCAGGGTTAACCTTTTGGTTTTAAATTGAGCTTTGTTATTAAAAAAAAACATTTTAAATATGTTTGGATTTTGAATGAAAGATCTGCAGATGAAGCATTTTCTTTCATTCAATCTGCTGATGGTGGAGACCTGAAGAACATGGGGATAAGATAGGGATTATAATGCAGAACAGTGCAGTGTGTGTGTTTTTTTTGCCCATGCAGGTAGTTAATGTTCAACAAAGTGGTGACAACATGCACACACATCTGTTTGTTGTGTGTGTGTGTGTGTGTGTGTGTGTGTGTGTGTGTGTGTGGGTGAAGCAATGACTGTTGCAGACAGTTTCTTATAGGAAGTTCTCATGATGGTTCTTGCTTCATTTTGAAGGCGTTTTCAGCCATCTGCACCCTTTAGTGGTCTTACTTGTTTTTAAAAACTCGTTTAAACCAGATTGGTGGACATATGGGCTGAGCTCTTATGTGTTATTACATGATTATCCTTCCTTTTTTTGTTTATTTGTAATTGAAGGCACTTTAAGTTATTACAGATTAGGTTGACTTCCCTTTAATAATGTTCTGAAGGTGTGCAGCCTACTGGGGAAGTGAAGGAGGTGTGTTTGCTAGCTGCTGGTGCTGTGTGTGTGTGTGTTCCTGTGCTCTGCAGTTCCCCCTGGCCACTGTGTGAAATCTTGCTGACAAGGAGAGTGTGAGCTTGACACACTGTGCTGCGACAATGCCGGGGCTGAGAAGAGCAATCAAAATGGTGGCGACGCTCTTTCCTTCCCCGGCGTGGCGGCCAGGCAGGGCAGACAGGTTCTCCAGGAGGAGCTGCTAGAGGACAAGCGGACAGGAATCTGCTGCGCTCGGCACATTTGCCTGGCGGCCGGGGGGGTCTCTGGTCTGCCGGATGATGTGCAAACGAGTTGAGGGATTGTTTTAAAAACCTTGTGAGCGATTGAGATGTTTCGGTGCGTCTCCGCCGATTGTCTCTGTTTGCGCTTCCAGCGCTGGCATTAACTTTCACAAGTCCTCAACACATTCTGTTTTTTTTTTTTTCGACATGAGCAGGTGATTGGTCCTCTGAGGCCCCTAAGCTCTGCTGGGTTTTCAGTTTCTTGGTGTGGAGTTTGCATGTTCTCTTGGTGCATGGGTGGGTTTATTTATGCAGGTACTCTGGTTCTCTCTTCCCACCACTGACTAAAAACATTCATATAAGGGTGAATGGTTTATCTGTATGTGGCTCTGTTCAGGGTGTACCCAGGGCTATTATAGTTGATTAAAACTAAATAACAAAAACTGAAATAATAAAACAAAACATTTTAGTTTACTAAAATAAATATTAACTTTAATAAACTGAAAAAAACAATAACCAAAACTGTATAATCTTTTTACAAAACTAAATAAAACTAACTAAAATTATAGCTACAATATCCTTAGCTTTAGTGTTTGTCGATTTATCTTGAGCCATGTTTTTTTTCTTTTAATTGAGTAGTTTCACATTAGCTGTGGGCAGCTTACAGCACCTCGTGGTCCGTAACATTGTCTGCCAAATGATGACAACAAAAGTTGGGAGAAAGCGACAACGTCCACTTTGGGGTTTCTTTGAATATGATGCTAGACAAATAAAACAAGTGTCTTGTAGTGGAAACAGGTGATAAAACAGGTGGAGTACTTCTCAAGGGAAAAACTGCATGAATCAAACTCACACGAGATGGCTAACTATGACTATCTTGACACGCTAGCTTCTCTCAGTAGCTCCTGTGAAAAACAAACAGGTAGCACCAAGCTTGAGTCAACTATAATCATCATCCTAAAATAATCACCCACATTTTTAGTTGGCTAAATTGAGTTACACAATTATTTTAGGAAGTGTTGCTATAATGGACTACTTTAACTAGTGACCAAATAGCTGTTGGTTAGTGAACTCACAGGAAGATCACAAGCTGGAGGATTCATTGGCAAATGTTTAATCAAACTAAAAAAAAAACTAATACTAGAACTAATAAAAGCTAAACTAAAACTAAGCATTAAAAATGCAATAATAACTAAGAAAAACTAGCAAATCCACTGTAAAAACTAATTAAAACTAACTGAATTAAAAGCAAAAAGTCACAATGAAATAAAACTAAATTATAATGAAAAGTCCAAAACTGTAATAACCTTGGGTTTACCCCACCTCTGGCCAAGTAACTACCAGCTCCCCTCAAACCCTTTCTGTTGTGTAATGTGTTTGGATATACTGTTAACTTTAAACTACAGCTGAAAACGTGAAATAAAAACGTGTCATTCAAATTTGTAGCTATTTTTAGAACCAATTGAACTAAAATGTTTTACATGCTAGATTTATTAATATCACAGTTCAGCGTTACGGTGAGGTGATCTGAGGCAGATGACCTGGATGTTTGTAAGTTATCTGAGGACTCTTAACTAGCAAGCTTGACAGGGAGGACAGAAGATCAAACAAGACAGACCTCTGGGATGGTTTGAGGGCTGGAAGGAAGTGGTCATGAAGCTCATCACTCCCCCTGTTCTGATACCTTTTTGCTTTTTTTTTTCTCACACACACACACAGTGACACACACACACACCGGCTCCCTTTTGTCGCCCCTCCTCCTTCACTCATTCATTCACACTGGGTGATGCACTTCTCCATTCTTCTCTACCTGGGGCAGTGAAGAAGGCCAGGGAGACACACAAAAGCAAATTGAAATGCTCCAGTGAGTGCTTTCTTGATGTGATGCATGGCTCATGAGATGCAGCCTGGCCCTGCTGCTACACTTGCAAGTGTGCTGAAGCACACAGATCCAACAGCAGTGGCCATGGCACTACAGCTAAAAACAAACAAACAAAAAAAATAAAATCCTTCCTTCTGTCTCTTGCACTTCACTGACTTGGGAAGCCTAAAAACCCACATTTTGTTTAGACCGTGTGAAATCTCTGCAAATGTGTTATTGTTCTTGTTTAAACATAAATTTGACCTTATCTGATGATCTAAAATGCACCATCGTGTCTGGGTTTTACGTGGAACAAGGAAGTGGCCTCATCGAGGTGTCATTCCTGTTTCTGTTGTCAGTTGCCACGTTACACTGCTGCAGAACTGGTTCCTCCTCTTTGCTTTCCATCAGAACATCAGCAGCTGAACACAGCGTTTTCACCTCGTGAAAAAAAAAAGAGTTCAGCAAAGCTCACAATTGTGTCTCCTTTTAGTAAACTCACATCATTATGGGAATAGTTTTCTATAAAGTGGCCACGTTAATGAGGGAGATGAATTATCTCAAGGATTTCCAAATCAGCTTTTTTGAAGTCCTTCTGCAGTGAGACTCTGTGAACCTTCTCTCTGTCAGCCTCGAGCTGCATGTGGTGGGGAGGAGGAGGGGAAAGTCTGAATTCTTTGGAGACGCCCGTTCCTTAGGCAGTGTGGTGCCACTGGACAAGGCCTTCATTGAGCAGGAACAGGAGTGGTCTTGTAGAAGGCATCCACACATGCTTGACCTCTGAAACAACAGAGCTGTCCAACCACCATTAAAAATTTAAGAACTTGGAAAGGAGGTCTCGGTGGTAAGTTAATATTGATGGGTCTCTCATCTTTCCTTTCTCAGACCTGTTGAGTTGCCTCAAGAGGTCAGTTTGGTGGATCAGGAGAAGAAGCTCGCCTCTTCTCATTAAGAAAAAAAGGCTGTAGCTTCAAAAGACAGCTGCAGTAGAGTTTTACCAAATGTTTACCTGAGCGTAATCTTCTGAGTTTCAATTCTGAGCTCGTTTCTTTCGGTTTTTCCTCATTCTCTCATGGTTGCTCTGAAAGCCTCCATCCTGATGAGCTTGAAATCTCACCCACCTCCTGTAACTGAAGGAACTGCCATGTCAGGCTTACAAGGAAGTCAGCAATGCAGTGTTTTCTGGCACTGACTTATAAAAAACAAACAACCTTGCAGCCTTTTTCTTGCAAGGGGAAAGGGAGCAGTTGAAGGATGTAGATCCAGCAGATGACATTTTGATAATGGGAGGCTTCAAAGGAATAAAACATTGCTTTGGATGAGGAACATTTTAGTGGCGATGGAAGACTTATTGTTGTCAATTACTGCAACTTGATTAGACACATTCAGTAAATGAGATGACCTTGAAGCTCAGTTCAGCGTGGTGTGTTTGTTTTCTGGGATAAAACCAGAGTACATCCGAGACAGCATCAGTTTGATTTGTGTCAGGAAATGGTTTCCTAGGAGAAATGAACTTCAAGGCTATATGGAATGTAGGGTTTCCTGAAGTAATTGTCCTTGTGGAAAAAAAACACTACCTGGTTTCTCTCCGAGAGCTGTCCTTCACTCGTTTGTCTCCATGCAGCAGTTTTTGTTCTTTCCAGTCTTAGAAGCCGATGCGTTTTAGATTCGGGAGCTCTGACTCAGCTCACATGTCTGACGTGTGTTGTCTGTTTTGCTTCAAATATATATGCTTTAGCCTACTTTTGCACACTAATATTTTTTTTTCCTCCAGACTTTCTCTTTTTAAGCTCAAGAGAAGAAACCTCTAGAGAAAACCAAATATATCTACATATTCCTTCTCTTCTTAAATTGTAAAAATAAGCATGCCTGAAGCTATTAATTAAATTTTGCACTTAATCCTTTTTGGGTGAAATATTTAATGGTGTTGCAAGAGGGGTTGCCCCAATCCTCGTGCTTTCCATGCTTTTTTTCACAGAAGCACCTAAAATAGGATCACGTCAGGTCACCTACATTCTGTGCATTTTTGCCGAACTCTTCTTGAAACACCTGCGCTTCGAAGCACAGCGGCCAGATTTTCACGGCGCTGTTCTCAGCAAAGCCGCAGTCAGAGGTAGCCATCTTTGCTG